GGTTTTAAGGGTGAAGATTTTAGGGGAGGTCCCAGGGGAAGATCTCAGTAGAATATTCAGCAGCTTTCCAGCTGGGTCCTTTCAGGGTTGGAGTTTCTACTCATTGATTGGTCAGCACCAGGGCAGGGGTCATTCAGTGCAGCTGATCCTGCTGTCAGTCTTGGCGTCACTCGTCTGGTTTTGCTTCTTTTCTGGGCATGGAGCTGAAATACAACTGAGGCCTAGATGTTATCTCTAGGGAGGAAAGGTCAGGGGATCCAAACCATGTGACCAGCGATATGCTAGGAGAGGAAAGGTCTCCTTGGAGGCAAGGTCCCACCCTACCTTTGCTAGGCACCTATTGCTTTCTGCCCTGGTGACCTTTGGTATCTGGCCCATCGTCCTTGCTCTGCCCAGGTCTGTCTAAGTGCCTACCAAAACCAGTGAGTGAGCCAGGATCTCTGACAAGTGTATAACTGCTTAGAGCCTCAAGTTCACCTGTAGAATGGGGAAAGAATGCCTGTCTTGGCATATTATAGGATTGAATGAGCATATATTTAGTTAGCTTGGACCAGTGCCTTGTATACAGAAAGCACTAGTATTTGCTTCATTAGCATATCTTCTCTTTTCTGGTTTCATTGCTTGTTGATAGCAACATGCACACCACATAGTAGGAAGGCTTTTGGATGGAGTCTGCCAAGACATATAGAAAGTAAGTCCTTCAGAGAAAGAATTTACCGTTTATTAGCCTGAAACCATAGGAAAAAAGTAATGTATCCCCATTATGGTGGACTTGACTTAAGCTGAGTTTGGAACCTTGGACACCACGTCCAACTAGGAGAGCCAACTGTCTATAAAGACTCTGAGAGCTGGGAGCTTTAAAAAAAAAAAAGCCAGGTCTCCAGATCCTTGCTTAGGCAGCAAGTCTGCAGTGGGTAGGGGAGGAGTGGCAGAGTAAACTGAAGTCTTAATATGGTGGTGCTGGAGATGACCCAGACCTCAGGAGCTGGGACAGCAAACTTCTCTCTGGCCTTCTGAGCTGAAATTCCCCCACCTGGCGCTGGGCCAGCCCTAGAGAATCAGGAGAGTTGCAAGCCATGGGAATGCTCTGTGCTTGTGCTAAAGAAAGGTTTTGAACAGAGTTTTCCATGCAGGATTGTTTTGTGTGTGTGTATTAAATATTTTGCAACATCGGGCTCAGCCAAGGGGAAAAAGGGTCAGAGTTCAGTCCCATCCCACTAAACCCTCAGGACAGATCTGGAGTAGAGATCTAGCCCGTTGGTGGCACGTGGAGAGGGCAGGCAGAGAAATATGAGAGAGGAAGGTTTTCAATTGCTGATGGAAAAGAGGCGATGGAATTATACTCGGGAGAACAAGCTTTTCAAATAAAACACATCTGCCAGGAGAGAAGCCAGAGTAAGGGTGGGGGAGACTGGGAGGTCATAGATGAGTTAAGGCCTAAATTAGCATTTTGACCTTATCCTGAAGGAGGTGGGGTGGTTAGCGACATCATCCAGTCCAGCCCTCATTTTAGAGATTGAGAGCCCAAGGCCAGAGTGGCTTGGTCTGGCGCCTAAGGCTAGTGCTCTCCTCACATCTTGCTCTTCCTAGATGTGGTTCTTTAATTAGGGGGGGCGGGTGCTTACCTTGATCTCCCCACCCTCACTCAGCCTGATTCCAGTGGATTTCTGCTTACAGTATACAGCTGTAGCAAAGGGTTGGAAATGGCCCGGAAGGAGGCAGGGTTAAGAGGGAAAAGCTTTATGCAAAGGAAAAACGGGGCCAGCTGAGCTTGGGCCACCCTCAGAAAATCAACACAAGGGCCCTCCATGCAGACTAACATGTGCCTTGTCCCTCCAGGCTGTGCCTTTCAGCAACTGACCACTCCTGGGCTGCTGAACGCCCCGTCCTGGTGTTTCAGCACCAGGAGGTGTCAATGAATCCCTATCCTTCGAATGCCTTTCAGAGAGGAGCAGTCAACACGTTGAAACGAGAAAAAAAAAAAGGCCCAGGTGGGGGGACGAAGGGGCTGAGGTCCTTAGGTTTTAGGAAGGCAGGGGCTAACAGTGGAAGACCTTTCAAGTTGTAAGCAACCAAGGATCAGAAGAGAAGAGAACAAGTTTTAAGTGGGATCCGCCCAGTTGCAGGCCCAGAAAACTGGTTCAAAGCGCTGTGCTCTTCTTGGCTGTCGGGCCCCGGTAAGTAATATCTTTTTCCTAAACTAGCTGTGAGAAACGGCTTACAGCTCAGATCCCTTTATCATTATCTCAGTTTTCAACTTGCCTGCCCAAAGGAAACTCCAGCACTTTGTTCCTCAAGCAGCTGCCTGGGTTGGAATTCATGAGCAACAGCTGCCAAGTTGAGCCTTCCTGGGGAAGGCTGGTCAGTGCCAACGTGACAGCCTTGGGCCCAGCCCCAGTAGGTAGAACAGCTGGTGGAGACTGTCTCATTCCAGGTCTGGCTGACCGGAGGGGCAAGAGTTGGCTGGAAGGCAAGTTTGTCCTTCTGCTCAGGCCAGAGTCCAAAGCCTACAGCTCTGCCAGCTTGTCCTTCTGTGATGAGACCGGTGAGGCTGTCCCAGGCCAGGCTCCTGCAGAATCAGGGCCCTCTGTCTATTCCGCCTGAGGCCAGTTGAGTCTAGTCAGCAGCTTCATCTGGCCCATCGACCCCCTCTCCTCTCCTGATTCGTGGTGCAGTTGGCAACCTCATTTCCTCCTAAGATGAAATGGTATCTCTGAGGGGTGGGATTTGGACCCCCTGCCTGTAAACATCAATGCGGTTTCTACCTCTTCATTCTACACTGCAGCGGTTCTCAACCTGTGGGTTGCGACCCCTGTGGCAATCGAACGACCCTTTCACAGGGGTCGCCTAAGACCATCCTGCATATCAGATATTAACATTACGATTCATAACAGTAGCAACATTACAGTTATGAAGTAGCAACGAAAATAATTTTATGGTTGGGTCACAACATGAGGAACTGTATTTAAAGGGCCAGAAGGTTGAGAACCACTGTTCTACAGATTAGCAGGTGTGAAATGAAGAATTTAGGGAAAAGCGAGTTCTTGGGTTCCACCCAGAAGGGGGAGGGAAGAGAAGTGTTGGTGGGCCAATCCTGAACGCGATGCACTGGACAACAGGGGCTGCAGAGATTTGGGAGGAGGATGGGAACCCGAAAAGACGGAGGAACATGGGCAAGCCTGCCTCTGGGGTCTCTTTCGGAAAGAAGTTGGACTTACGGGATAGACTGGAATTATTGGAACAGGAGGCCTGAGAGGCTAAGCTGTGTCTTCAAGAGAATCAGCTGTTGTGTCCAACAAAATAGACTTTGTGTTGAAGTGGAATTGGCTCTTGTGAAGCTGATGCGGTGATAGATTAAGGACTCTGCCCCTGAAGCCCTGGGGGCCTAGAGAGCCAGGGGCAAGGCCTGGACAGCCAGGAAGGAGCCTGGCCAGGCCCTTGCCAGGAACAGCTGACCTCGGGACAGTAGATGGCCTCTTCAATTCCCGGACGGTGTGCAAGCTCCAGGGTCCCTATCTTCAAAATCTAGAATAAGGGAGCCTCTCTACGTGACTCTCGGCACCGAGGGCAGGACCCTCCTATGCCTGTGGAGCGCCTAACCCCATGGTCTACTTGAATGGCACCCCCAGAGCTGTGCCTCATAGTCCTTCCCCCAAGCTCTGTCAGGTGGAACTCAGTCCAGAGAGGAGGGCATGTGAGCCCCATGGTTTCCTCCTCTATTCTCTCCCTGCCCCCCATGCCGAGTGCACTAGGGATCCTCCCCCGAGCTTTGCACATTATCCTCCCCAGTCTTCCTTCCTCTCCCCTCTTCTGACACCCATGACCAGCCAGGCTTGGGAGCCCAGGTTGCTGTGCAGTCAAGGGTGGAGGGAAAACATCTGACACTTGCTGAGCCCAGTCGCAGGGACTTTCTTCTCGGCCCTCAGTGTGACTTCTAGGCCTAGGAGAGGTTCGGCTGCCCAGTTTCCCAGGCTGCTGTGGTCCAGTCCTTCTCCCCTGAGCCGTAATGTGGGCCCCACTCTGGGAGGGGCAGTGGGATCGGAGGGTGAGACTGAGAAGTAGCCTCTCATGACCAGGTCCCCCTCGGCCCACTTCTAGGCATTTCTCCTCTGCTGCTGTTGCTTCCCCTTCGTCCAGACAGAGAGGGAACTAACAAGTTTATCCCATCTCTAAACTGTCTCTTGAGCCCTGTGTCCCCTCTTGGTGCCAAGAAACCTCCTTTTCTTCATGCGCTGAGTCAGAGCCCAGGCGCCCAGAATAGCAGAAGTAGTGAGTCAGGGAGAGATGAGGCCCGTGGTGGGCTGGAAAGTAGGGCTCCAGGGTAGCCTGGGGTAGTAGAATGTGGCCTGAAGAGCCAGAGAGACCGGCAATTCTCTGCCCTGTGACATGGAACCCGCTTCGAAACCTGAATTTCTTCACCCACAAAGTTGAGATGGAGCTTACCTTGTGATCCTGCTGTGTGGATTACAGTAAGTCCTTGGGTCACGTTGGAAATCCGTTCCTACGGCACGATGTAACGCGATTTTCGCCGTAAGTCGGAACCCACCTACATAAGCACCTACGTCACTCACATGGAGCACATACACAGCAGTAATGAAGTGAAACAGTAAAAAAAATATAAAAGAGAGATAACAATCCCTGACCTTTACTTGTGGTAAATAAATAATAAAAAACAAAGCACATATGAAAATACATCGAAATGACGGAACTTTTTGTTTTTTATAAATAAACGGGAGATGGCAACGTAACCACGAAACAATGTATGTGGAGTCTGACGTAACCTGAGGAGGACTGCCTGCAGTAAATAAATAAATAAATAAATAAATAAATAAATTTATGTTTATATTATATATCACCAGCACAATGTTCAGCAGGCCATAGGCATTGAATAAAGAGAGCTGCTATCACTGTCATCATAATCGTGTCTTCTTCCAGGGACAATGACCTGCAAGTCCAGGATGAGGACAGAAGGCAGCAGAGCGTCCTGAGGACTCCAGAGATGTCCTCTCCTCCTCCTCTGCTCCCTCAGCATTTGTGAGAAAGTGGCACTGGAGATGAAGCTTGGTTTTGTGTAATGCTGGGTTCTCTTTTTGTCCTGAATACTTCCAAGGAAATCCAGCCACAGAGCTAGAGTTGGAAACCTGAAGCTAGTGAGGGGAAAGAAGGGGTAATGGGTAGAGGGAGCACCAGGCACTCGCAGCCACTGCGTCCCCTCCCAGCTGCCCTCCCAGTGCCTTGCAGGGACTGTCCAGCAGGAGTATGGCTTTCACCTTTAAAAAGCCAAGCCTGAGAAATCCAAACTTAGGACAAACCAAAATGAGGACAAAGGGATTCACAGGATGTGTAAATAGATTCTTTGCTAAAGACCTGCTGGCACCCATCTGGTGTGTAAAAGGGCACCCTTGGGTGTGGGGATGCAGGGTAACTGGAGGTGAGTTCTTCAACATGAAAGCCCTTCAGTAGACTCACAGTGATATAACCATCCTGAGCTTTGCCGAGATGGGCAATAGGCCCAAAATGTAGGACCTTTCCCCAGGGAAGAAATTTCTCAGGTTCCACTGTCTGTAAGGATTCTAACCTCTCCCTCTAGGAAGTCACGGCAAATCAGAGGTAAAAATTCCCAGCTGATCACTGGACTCCTCCCTCTCCTTCCATTCCTTGGCGCTCCTGAGTGTTGGGGAGGGTTTTAGGAGCCAGTTCCCCACCCCCCAGCACCTCCTCTTCAGTTACAACACACAAAAATGGTCATTTTAGGGTCACAGGTCTTTGCACAAAAAGAAGTTTTGGGAACAGTAGTTTTCATTCAAAATGTTAATCCATGAGGGATTAAGAACAACCTCACTTTATGAGACCAGAATGTTTAAACAGAGTCAGTGTTCTAGAAACTTAGCAAAGTGATGTAAGACATGAAACAAAATGATACGTCTGTCTTTTTTCCTTCCTGGGCAAGGTGCATCTCAGCACTGGTGTCCTGCGGCTTTGCGGATCTGCATGGTGAGTGTGCTTTGACTATTATTTCTGTGTAAGAAAAATGGATGAACAATTCCAGCTCCTTCTTGTTGCCTGCCGTCAGGAGACCGTTCACAATCCGGCACTACCCAGAGTGAGTGTGTGCATATTCTGTGTCCCAGCAATCCACTCCTGAACATACACTCTACACATTCTCACCAGGTCGTGGAGGGGACGTGTACCAGGATGTCCACAGTGGGTTGTGTCAGGGAAGTGGGAGCAGTAAAATATTCGTTTCTGTGGGAATGAATGTGCAAAATGTGGTAGCAGCCCATCCCAGGACCCACATAGGTAGATCCAAAAACAGTGCTGAGTGAAAAAATAGAATAAGAATTATAACACAATACCACATACATAAATTAAAAGTACACTCGCACGAGAGGAATACACATCTATCATAAATGTAAAACAAAAGATACACATTACATGCACAAGAACTGTTACCAACGTGGGAAGGAAAATGAGAGTGGGAACACAGAGAAGAGAGGACCATACAAAAATGTGTACACAAATGTTCATGGCAGCATTGTTCATAATACCCAGAAAGTGGAAACGCCCAAATGCCCATCAACTGATGAATGGATAAATAAACTGTGGTCCATCTTACAATGAATTGGCCATGAACAGACATAAAGTGCTGATTCATGCTACCACATGGATAAACTTTGAAAACATTATGCTAAGTAAAAGAAGCCAGTCACAAAGGACCACATATTGTATGACTCCACTTACATGAAATGTCCAGAATAAGCGAATCTAAAGAAACAGATTAAGGTTGCCTAGGGCTGGAGTCGGGGGTTATTGAGGGGGAAGTGGGATGTGACTGCTAATGGGCGTAGGGTTGCTGTTTTGGGGGTGGTGAAGTGTTCTATTTTTTAAAATTGATTTTAGAGGAAAAGAGAGAGAGAGAGAAATTTGCTGTTTCACTTAGTTATGCATTCATTGGTTGATTCTTGTATGTGCCCTGACTGGGAATCAAACCCGTAACCTGGCGTATCAAGAAATCTTCTAAACTTAGTTTGTAGTGGTGGTTGTACAACTCAAAATAGACTAAAAAACCATTGTTGTACTTTTTGCATCCCAGAGTTTTATGGTATGCAAATTATATCTCCATAAACATGTTTAAGGAGAAAACCAGAAGGGGAGCGTGTTCTCACGTGGTTGCCCCTGGTCCTTCTGCTTTGTGCTTCTGGTTTCATGTGGGAACTGGGTGAGCTTCACCCACCTTAACCCTGCCCACGGGCCATTGCCCTTGAGTGGTGCACAGTGGCCTCTGGCCCTTCCTGCTTGAAAACCCAGCATTGGCCCAAGGCTCCCTGGAACTGACTCAAAGCTGACTCCAGAGCAGAACTAATGGGCTGCAGCAGACCACTTCCTCCGTGCTGAGGAGGCGCACTGCCAGACTCCACAGAGGGCTTTCTCGGCATGGAAGTTGGAAAGGACTTTGGGTCTTGGCTGTTCTGTTAACTAACCATAAGTTTATCACCAGTCAACAGTGTGACTCTAAGAAAACATGTCTTTCCTTCCTGGCTCTGCCAGTATTAGCTGTGTAACTTTAAAATGTGACTTAACTTCTCTGAGCTTCAGTTTCTCTCTCTGAGAAGTGGGCCTCAAATTAACTAGAGCAGTTTGGGATAGTGAATGAAGTTAACCATGTGAAAACCTAGCCCTGTTCCTAACACACAGGCAGTACTTGGCAGATGTTTGCTGAATCTGCTTCCCCAAAAACCTCACCTGCTCCTCCAAACAGCCAATGAAAAATACTAATATAATCTTGAATTTGGCAAAATTGGTAGAAGAGTCCATATCATGGGAAGTAAAGTTATAATCTTTATAACTTCTGTCAGGTACAAATGACAGAAACCCAACTTAAAGTGACAGCAGCAGAAAAAGGGATTGCAGGCCCGGCTGGCATGGCTCAGTGGTTGAGCGTTGACCTATGAACCAGGAAGTCACGGTTCTATTCCCAGTCAGAGCACATGCCCAGGTTGCAAGCTCAGTCCCCAGTAGGGGACATGCAAGAGGCAGCTGATCAATGATTCTCTCTCATCATTGATGTTTCTATCTCTCTCTCCCTCTCCCTTCCTCTCTGAAATCAATAAAAATATATTTAAAAAAAGAAAAGAAAAAGGGATTGCAGTGGCTCAGTAACAGAGCTGAGTTATTGGGACTTCCTCCTCCCTCTCTATGCTCCACCTCTTCCACTTCTTCCTCCTCCGCCTTCTCCTCCATATCACTTTCTGTGGGTGGGCTTCTGCTGTATGGCCTAGAACAGCCGTGGGCAAACTATGGCCCGCAGGCCGGATACGGCCCGTTTGAAATGAATAAAACTAAAAAAAAAAAAAAAAAAAAAGAAAAGAAAAAGAGATTGCAGTGGCTCAGTAACAGAGCTGAGTTATTGGGACTTCCTCCTCCCTCTCTATGCTCCACCTCTTCCCCTTCTTCCTCCTCCGCCTCCTCCTCCATATCATTTTCTGTGGGTGGGCTTCTGCTGTATGGCCTAGAACAGCCATGGGCAAACTACGGCCCTCGGGCCGGATCCGGCCTGTTTGAAATGAATAAAACTAAAAAAAAAAAAAAAAAAAGACTGTACCCTTTTATGTAATGATGTTTACTTTGAATTTATATTAGTTCACACAAACACTCCATCCATGCTTTTGTTCCAGCCCTCTGGTCCAGTTTAAGAACCCATTGTGGCCCTCGAGTCAAAAAGTTTGCCCACCCCTGGCCTAGAACCATGGTCAGCAAACTGCAGCTCGAGAGCCACATGCGGCTCTTTGGCCCCTTGAGTGTGGCTCTTCCTAAGCCTTAGGAGTACCCTAATTAAGTTAATAACAATGTACCTACCTATATAGTTTAAGTTTAAAAATTTTGGCTCTCAAAAGAAATTTCAATCGTTGTACTGTTGATATTTGGCTCGGTTGACTAATGAGTTTGCCGACCACTGGCCTAGAAGATTCCTGTCCCTCCTAGCTTATGGACTGAGGTAGGAGATGAGAGGAATCTTCCAACAGATTCCTAATCCCCCTTCCTGTGGAAACAGAGTGGATATGTCCAGTGGTGGGACTACAGTCATTGGATGGAAATGACAGAGAAGCCAATTTCCTGTCAAGAATTCCAACACTTTTAAGCTTGAATGTCGTCTCTCCCCATTAGGAGATTGGTGGTGGCAAGTGACAGAAAATGCAGCTCAAAATGCATGAACAATGATGGTGATCGATTGGCTCCCAACATAATGGAAAAGTCCTGTGGCAGAGTAGCCTCTCGATTCGTCAGGGCTCTGTCTCTTCCCCTGCAGTTCTCTCAGCTCTGTCTCCATGTGTGTCTGCTTTGTCGCAGACTGGCTTCCTCCATCATAATCAGTCAGAGCCTTGTTCCCAGCTGGGGATGGGCCAAGAGTGGCTTCCTGTAGTCACTGAAGGAAAGTCTGAAGGGATGGCTCTGCCTGGACACTATGGCCAGGGCAACACCCACGATGAGTCCTGAGACTAAATGGCAAGAGGCATGGCGTTGGGCTGATGCATTTTGATAGATCAGAGTCCACCTGGAAAAGCACAACTTAACAATGGGACAGGGTGGAAAGACACTAAGAACACAGACACTGCCTGCCACGGGGCCACAAATTCATTTACAGATGAGGAAATGGGGCCAAAAACCTCCCAAGGTTCTATGCCTAGTTTGTGGCAAATCTAAGACCAGATATCAGTGGTCTTGGCTACAGTTCGCTGGTTTTCTGTTTTGTTGTTGTTGTTTTCCCAAAAGTTTCCCAACTTGAGTCCAGGTGAATTTTTTTTATTTATTTATTTATTTATTTATTTATTTAGTCAATCCTGACCTGAGAATATTTTTTCCATTGATTTTTAGAGAGCATGGAAGGGAGAGGGAGAGATAGAGAGAAACACAGATGTGAGAGAGACACATCAATTGGTTGCCTCCTGCATGCCCCTGACCAGAGCTGGAAGCCTGCAACTGAAGTACGTGCCCTTGCAGGAATTGAACCCGGGACCCTTCAGTCCACAAGCTGACGCTCTATCCATTGAGCCAAACTGGGTAGGGCTGTTTTGTTTTTTAATTGAATGTATTGGGGAGTGGGCATTGGTTAATAACATTATATAGGCTTTAGGTGTACAAGTCTATAATACATCATCTGTATATTGTATTGTGTTTTCACCACCCCAAGTCTACAGCTGGCTGGTTTTGCATCAATAATGAAAAATAAGGCCTTGATGGGTAACAAACACCCCATCGCTAGGGAGAGTCAAGCCAAGGCTGGATGGCATCATAGCTATAAAAGGAATGACCACAGTGATCTTCAAGGGAGGACAGAGGCCTCTATTATTGGTGCTCTGTGGGAACAGCACAGAGATGAGACAACTACTCCCAAGATGGGACGGTGGAGATGGGCCCTGCAGCAGGGATGGGCTCATCCTGTCCACTTTCTTGGATTCATAACTTCCTGAGAGAGGCTCTGACTCCCCTCTGGTTCCCCTCCTCCCCGCCCTGTTCCCAGGCTGAGATGGACAAGCTGGGGCTGGTAATTGTGTTAGTTCAGTTTCCTCCCTGGCCCTGCCCTCCTGGTAATCTGATTTTCAAGGGACTAAGGAGTGGCAAGGCCCAGGCTCAGGAAGAAATCCGCTCCCTCGTGTCTGTTGGGCCTGCTAATTTGATAGAACTACTTGCTGAGCTTCCACAGAACCCCCATTAGGAACAAATTTCATCTGGTTTCCACAGCCCTGGCCCTGGAGAGCTCTCCAAGTCTCAGCCCAGAAGGAAATCCAGCTTCCAATTCAATTTTTACAGAAGGAAATTAAGTCTGTATTATAATAATAGCAACAAGAGATTGAACACCTACTGTGTGCTAGACACAGCACCAGGTGCTTTATATCTGAAGACTCACCAGATGTGCTGTCACTGTTGTGAGTTCACAGATGCTCCAAGTTGATCCTTTGGCTAATGATCCCTTTCGTCACAGGAGTCTCCCTCCATTTGAATGGACTTGCCCTTGGGTTTGGGGCCTTTGGCCAACTCTTGTATAATCTTCAGAGTAACAGTGTTTCTAGGACAAGATGGCTGAGTGTGAAGCAGCATCTGACCCAAGCTCTTCTCCAACCCAAGGGCTCCTAGTGCCTAATGGGAGCCCTTAGCCACTTGGGACACCCAAGCTCAGCCTGCCAAGCATCCTGGAGGGTGTGTGGCCAGGTGAAAAGAAAGACACTGGGCCCTGGGGAAAAGCAGCTTCACCACCTATTAGCTGTGTGGCCTTTGACAGGTTATCTAACCTCTGAGCTGGGGCCTCCTCATCTGGGCAATGGCAATGGTATAATCTACACTGGCAGTTATGAGAATTAAATGAAGTAAAGGACATGCAACCTAGTCTCCGTTTCACTGTGTGGGATGAGAATTATGACTCACTCTGCTCAAGAATTTTCCCAGAGCCTGCACCACCTGTCCCTGGCCATCTGGCCCTCCACTTGACTTCCTCCCCAGGAATCCTAGGGTCTTCACGGAGTTTGGGAGGATGCAAGGGGACTTGCCAGGTTGCTCATCACATGGAAACTGGGGTCACCTGCTTGTTCTTTGAGGGTCCCTGTCCCCATGGAGACAGACAGACAACAAATACATGAATGAATATGTATTTTGTGAAACATTCTCTGCCCCAATAGTACTGGGCCCCCAGCTACTGCCACCCATGGAAGTGACAAGTAACTTTCCATGCATTACTTCATCCAGACAATAGGCACCTGCTTCCCCAGGCAGTCAGCCTACTATCAGAATCAGTCTGGATGTCCCAAGTTACAGTCTGTATTACCCCCCCACCCCCAAGGAAGCTCCTTTTCTCAGGCTGGGCTCAGCCCCCTGCTTCTGCTGCCACCATTGTTGTGAGTAAAGATTCTGGGCAGCCCTGGAAGACACCCACTCCCCCTGTCACAGAGCTCCCTGCCTCTCTTTCAAATCCATTCATATGTCACTGCCTCCCTGACTCCCTGATCCAAATTAGCCATCCCATACATGACCTCACCCCACTTTATTTGTCCTGACTGCCCATCTCCTTAGACAAAACAAACAAGTTTAGCAAGGTCAAATGATACAAAGTCAATATACAAAAATCACCTGTATTTCTATAATTTGTTTTGAGTTAACTTTTGTATATGGTGTGAGGTAAGGGTTGAAGTTACTTGTTTTCATGTGGATATCAAATTGTTCCAGCAGCATTTGTTGGAAACATTATTGTTTCTCCACTAAACAACCTTGGTGCTTTTGTAAAAAAAAGGTTGACTGACTAACCCTAGCCGGTTTGGTTCAGTGGATAGAGCATCAACCTGTGGACTGAAGGATCCTGGGTTCGATTCCGGTCAAAGCACATGCCCAGGTTTCAGGCTCAATCCCCAGTAGGGGGCGTGCAGGAGGCAGCCAATCAATGATTCTCTCTCATCATTAATGTTTCTATCTCTCCCTCTCCCTTCCTCTCTGAAATCAATAAAATTGATTTTAAAAAAAGATGTAAAGAGGTGAGGGGTGAATCACACAGATCTCTGGAGTAAGAGGGTTTCAGCCAGAGAGAATAGCAAGTGCAAAAGGCCCTGAGGAAGGAGCATTTTGTGCAAAGGGATGACATGATCTGACTGAAATGTTAGCACAATCACCTGAGTGTGCTGCTATGTGGAGAATAAACAAAGGAAAACAAGAATTTAAATAGGAAGACAAACTGGGAGGCTCTTGTAATAATCCTGATGAATCTCAGAGGGAAGATGGGGTTGGGAGGTTCAGGGGGAGAGAGATTAACCTGGGAACCTATATGCATAGCCCGTGGACACAGAAAATAGTGTGGTAAAGGCCTGGGAGGGGTAGGTGTGGGATGGAAGGAGTCAATGGGGAAAAAAGGGGGAACATCTATAATACTTTCAACGATAAAGATTAAAAAAAAAAGTGTGGTATTGGCAAAGGTTAACCAATACATCAGTGGAACAAGTAGAGTCTAGAAACAGATCCACACAAAATGCACTCAATTGATTTTGAGAAAGATAGCAGGCACTTCAATGGGTAGAGGAAGTTATATCAACAACTTGTGCTAGAATAACAAGTTACTCATGTAGAAAAAAATGAACCTCGGCCCCATCTCATACACAAAAAGTAGTTCAGTATATATCACAAACCTCAACACGCAAGCTGAAACTCTAAAGCTTCTGGAAGAGAACATGGGAGACTATCTTCATAAGCTTAGAGTAGGCAAAGATTGTTTTAAAAATACAGGGCACAGAAAGCAATAACCATAAAAAAAATGGACATACCCTCACCGGGTGGCTGGGTTCGTTGGAGTGTTGTCCAATACACCAAAAGGTTGCCAGTTCAATTCCTAGGCTGTGTCAGGGCACATGCAGGAGGCAACCCATTGATGTTTCTCTCTCCCTTCCTCTCTCTAAAAAAAAAAAAAAATTACATCCTTGGGTGAGGATTAAAAGAAAAAAAATGTATAACTTTCCCTTTCCTTCTAGGAGGGTCCGAGAATCTCCTTCCACAGCAGCCATGCCCCCCTGCACTTCGAGGTGCCAACACTCCCCACATGCTCCACGCAGAACCCCCGGCCCTCCACTCCATGGCCACCAAGTCTCCATGTCTCCCCAGAGCACAGGCCTTCAGGGATCATTCCAGGGCCCCTGTCATAATTCACTCAACAATTCCCTTTAAAGCAACTTAAATCTTATCCCGCCTTCTTTACCTTTGTCCTGAACAATCACTGCTGTGAAATCGCTAGTTTGACAGGTATGTCACTATTCTTCATTACATATTAAAATAAATCCCTAACCATTAAAAATATTCTAAAATATGTGAACCACCTAAAATTATTTCACATACTGTATGTTTTACATGTTCTTGGGAATATGTGTATGAATGTGTGTGAGCATGTATGTGTGTGTCTAATGGGATGTGTGTGTAGTTATACATGTGTGTGCATATGGGTGAATGTGAGCATGGGCATGTGAATGAATATGCATGTGAGTGTATATGTAAGTGTTGCTGCCTGGTAGGTGAGTATAGATGTGTGTGTGTGTGTGTGTGTGTGTGAATGAGTGTAAGTGTATATGTCCTGAGTGTGTCTAAGTGTATAGTGTGCATGAGTGTCTGGTGGGATGGGGTGGAGGAAGATGAGAGGATGAAGAGTCCTAGTGGAGGGTGACCATGTTCCCCTGCCCCCCCAGCAATGAGCCCTACTCACCAGGAACAGACAGGGCAGAGAAAAGGCATGTGGGCCAGCAGCCCCTCCAGTACGTCCCTGTTTGTTTATCCACAGGCCCTTCAGGAGGAGGGGAGTGTCTCCTTGACCACAGGAGCACCTGGTTACAGCCGGCATCCTGGTAACCATCGCCAGGGACTGGGAGTGCTTCTGGGAACAGCAGCAGCCAGCAGGCGGGGGCAGATCCTCTCTGCTATATTTACAGGTCTGCATTTAGCACAGGACCTTGAGATGAGGGACTGAGCTCCCAAGTCTTCAATGTGTTCATCCCCCTGGCAACTTTATGCAAGGGATATTTTCAGGAGCTCAGAGAGGTTAGGTCATTGCTCAAGGTCACACAGCTAGGTGTTCAGAACCAGAGTAGGACCCAGTCTTCTGGCTCTGAGGTCCAGGGTGTTTCCGCCACAGCACAGGGAGCACCGTACTCCCAACGCCGTTTCCTGGCCATGAGAACCCTGCAGGAATGCCAAGTGCCACCTGAGTTCTCTGTGGCTGTTATTCTGTATAGGTCAGCCCCCGTGGTCTTAGCTAAGTGGTTCTTTTGCCCATTCCCATGCCAAACCCTTTGGCCAGGAAGCAGCTGGTGTCTTGGGTACAGGAAGTTCATGAGTGGGGTGATACTCCACGTACCCACTGGCACTTGAGGACACTGACCAAACAAATAACTTCAGCTTGAGGAGCTGGGCAGGGTTCTGGAGGTGGATGGGGGTCTCTGGAGAAGAGCAGGGTTAGTCAGGGTTTTCTAGAGAAACTGTATCCATATCTATATCTATCTACCTGTATCTATATAATATATGAGAGATTTTTAATTTTTTTAAATGTTTTTTAAATATATTTTTATTGATGTCAGAGAGGAAGTGAAAGGGAGACAGAGATAGAAACATCAATGATGAGAGAGAATCATTGATTGGCTGCCTCCTGCATGTCCCACACTGGGGATTAAGCCTACAACCCAGGCATGTGCTGTGACAGGAAATCGAGCCATGACCCCCTGGTCAATGCTCAACTACTGAGCCACAGCGGCCAGCTGGGCTGAGAGAGAGATTTTTAAGGAATTTGCTCACTTGATTGTGGGGACAGGCAAGTTCAAAATTCATAGGGCGGGCTGGTGGACTAGAAATTCCGGTGAGATTTCATGTCGCAGTCTTGATTCCGAAATCCACAGGGCAGCACGTTGGAAACTCAGGCAAGGTTTCTAACTTGCAGTCTTAAGGCAGAATTCCTTCTTCTGAAACCTCAGCCTTTGTTCTTAAGGCCTCCAACTGGTTGGACGAGGCCCACCCACCTTATGAAGGGTCATCTTCTTTGCTTCAAATCTAGTGATTGTAAATGTTAGTCACATCTAAGAATACCTAGACTAGTGTCTGGCCAAACAATTGGGTGCCATAGCCCAGCCCAGTGGTCGGCAAACTCATTAGTCAACAGAGCCAAATATCAACAGTACAACGATTGAAATTTCTTTTGAGAGCCAAATTTTTTAAACTTAAACTATATAGGTAGGTATATAGGTAGGTTATTAACTTAATTAGGGTCCTCCTAAGGCTTAGGAAGAGCCACACTCAAGGGGCCAAAGAGCCGCCTGTGGCTCTCGAGCCGCAATTTGCCGACCACTGGCTAGCCAAGTTGATGTAAAATTAACCACCACACTTTCCCTGACCTCTAGGGAAGATCAGCATCGGCACCCTTCCCTCTTCCGCTCCTACTTGCATGCAGTTCTAGGAATGTGTTTATTCCCCCCATCATAGAACTGTGACACTTCCTAATATTGTCTGCTTAGCTTTGCTGTTCTCCAGTGCCTAAGGTGTGAATGTGTGTTATTTATTCTTCTCAGGACTCTGGGTGCTTATTCAATCTGAAGATTTAGGTTTTTCTTCCATTTTGATTCATTCCCAGCTTTAACTCTTCAAATACTGCTCCTCCCCCATTCCCTCTCCATTCTCCTGGATCTGCCAGCTAAGGGGGCTAGATCTTGCCATCATCTCCTCTTATCTTAGCCCTGGTTCCTTCCATATGTTTCTTCTCTCCTTTTTCTCACCGTGCTACTAGCAAAGTGATTTTTTTCTAGAGGTATCACCCAATTTGCTAAATGTCTCTTTAGCTGTGTCTTATTCTGCTGTTCAACTTATCAATTTTAATAAAGTATATAAACTGTATTTTTCATTTATAGAACTTCTATTTGGCTTGTTTTCCATCTATTTTTCATATTATCCCATTCTTTATTATTATTTTCTTTCTTTTAAAAATTCTTCATAATCACTTAAAATGTTTCTCTTCTGTTTTCAGATTTTTCTATTATTTCCACTTCTTAGGGGGTAAATTCTTCTGTGTTTTTGGGTCTTGTTTTGTATTTACTGATTATCTCTTATGGTAGTGTGTTTCCCTGTGCAGTTTGTATTTTTTGATTGGGAACGCATCTTCATTGGGGTTTGTTTGTGCCGTGAGTTGTAAAAATATTCTTACAGAGTACTCTGGGTTTGCTTCTGTCAGGGCCCTAAGGGCTGGACTAACTTTTATATTAACTTTTTGGCACAAGAGTCCTGGGGTCAGGGGCTCGCCGAGGGAGGGGGCTTGTGGTAGAGCCATGCACCTCTCTCCTCCCTGTGGGCAGGCCTAGACCTTCCATCTTTCACAGCAACTTCCCTCCCAAGCCCAGGACAGTGAGAGCATTTTGTGGCTCCTTCTGCAGCCCTGGTGGTAGAGTTTTTGTAGCCTTTTTCCCTGATCAGAGTTCTCTTTAAGGCTCCAAGCCTTAAAAGGATAAATTCAAAGGGACAAATTCCAGCTCTCCTGCCTCAAACAGCCTGGGGCTGCCTCCTATTTTTTCAAGGGCCCTAGAACTCTTAGGATCCAGGCTTTAGAGCCTTTATCTAGTCAAAACCCTGTGAATCATCCATCTTATCAGCTTACTCTGGCTTTGAGTTCTTATACTATCTCTGGAATGTGAGAATGTTCCTTTCTTTCTTTTGAACTCAGCTGTATATTTTCAGGTGTTTTTCTTGTATGTTATGCAGGATTTATATATGGTAGCAAGAGAGGGTTGTCTGAAATAGCTTAATCTGCCCTGTTGCCAAAAGCATCCTGATACATCTGTCTGTGTATTATCTCAGTAATAGTAGTCTCCCCCACGAGATTGCAAACTCCACGAGACAGGGACTGTGTTGGCTTTTGCTTCCAAAAAGAACTGAGCATATGATGGGAGCCTAATATATATATTTTTAAAATAAAATGTTATTGATTTTCGAGAGGAAGCAAGAGAGATAGAAACATCAATGATGAGGGAGAATCATCGGTGGGCTGCCTCCTGCATACCCCCTACCAAGCCCACAACCCTGGCACGTGCCTTGACTGGCAATCGAACCCTGACCTCCTGGTTCATAAGTCCATGCTCAACCACTGAGCCACACCGGCTGGGCAGGAGCTTAATATTGTTGAATGAATTAATGAAAATACTCTCTCTGGGGACATGAGTACCTAATTCATAGGGCTATTGGGAGAACTTACCAAGAGAAAGTATGTTAAATGCTTGGTATAAGGTAGGAATTCAGAGATGATATCTATAATAATAAAAGCATAACATGCTAATTAGACTGGACAGCCGAACAACCTTCCAGACGTCATTCCAGACGTCCTTCCAGTTGAAGCTGTGGCTGCAGGGGCTGAGGCAGAGGCAGTTAGGGGCGATGAGGCAGGCAGGCAAGCAGTTAGGGGCGATCAGGCAGGCAGGCAGAGTGGTTAGGGGCAATGAGGCAGGTAGGCGAGCAGTTAGGGGTGATGAGGCAGGCAGGCAGAGGCAGTTAGGGGTGATCAGGCAGGCAGGCAAGTGGTTAGGAGTTATCAGGCAGGCAGGCGAGAAGTTAGGGGCGATCAGGCAGGCAGACAGAGGCTGTTAGGGGTGATCAGGCAGGTATGCAGACAAGCGGTTAGGAGCCAGTGGTCCCGGATTGCGAGAGGGTGCAGGCCGGGCTGAGGGACACCCCCTCCTCCCGCCCCCCCCCCCAGCCCCCGCCATGCACGAATTTCTAGTCTATTATAATAATCATGTCTATTTTTAAAAAAATATATTTTATTGATTTCTTACAGAGAGGAAGGGAGAGGGATAGAGAGTTAGAAACATTGATGAGAGAGGAACATCGATCAGCTGCCTCCTACACACTCCCCACTGGGTATGTGCCCGCAACCAAGGTACATGCCCTTGACCGGAATCGAACCTGGGACCCTTGAGTCCGCAGGCTATGCTCTATCCGCTGAGCCAAACCAGTCAGGGCAATAATCATGTCTATTAAGGCAAAGCCTCAACCATGAAGGTTTCCCTGTAATTCAGCTCCCACCCCTCACCTCAGACATTAATCTTGGCCTAGGATGGCAGACAGGTTCTGTGAGTGTGACCTCCTGACATTTACTCAGAGCACAAAGGTCAGCCACCACATCTTGGTTTTAACCCAAACCCCAAGGCCTGAATATGAATTGGCTAAACGTTGTCCCCCTCTGGTTGATCCTATCCTATCTAGGGGTCCCTGATCATGTCCTGGCCAGTGATCCCTTTTATTGCCAGGATTTTTCTCTAGAAATCTCACATTTAAGAGGTTCTGTTGAGGAAAATGCATTGAGTAAGTATTCATTGATTTATTTGTGCATTTTAATTAATCCAAGGCATTCACCTGCCAAGTGAGATAATTTTAGCCCAAAGCAAGGTAACAACATTTTAATCAGGCTGTGCAGCTTTTCCTGGGTGAATGCACCGGAGCCCCTGCCCCATTCCTAACCCAGGGATTTGAAGACTTGAAATGAAAAGTCCTACCTGGTGGGACCCACCAGCAGCAGCAGTGCCATGCAAGCTGGACTCAAGGAGGACACAGAGAGGCTTTGAAAGGGCAGCCAGGCCCTGAGCCCACAGCTCAGTTGGTTAGAGTGTCATCCCGATGCACCAAGGTTTTGGTTTAACCTCCAGTCAGGACACATACAAGAAGCAACCAATGAATACATAAATAAGTGGAATAACAAATCGATGTCTCTCTCTCTCTCAAATCAGTACATTAAAAAAAAATCAATAAATAAAAATTTAAGAAACAAAAACACAAAATGATGGCAGCCAGGGGCAACCTCCTAAACATTACAATCCCAAGAAAGTGGCTGGCAATGGTGAGAGACAAGAAGGAAACTAAAAAGGCTTACAATGGGATTTATGTAGCCTCAGGGAACAGAATT